CCCCCCCCCCCCCCCACCCCCGCCTGTTTTTTTTTTCCACTTCTTAAAAAAGATTAGTAGGAAATTGGGCAAATTGTAAGTAGAATCAGGCCTTCCCAGCTGCAGCCAAACCAGCTCAGTGAATTGAAGGTCCTGTGCAAAGGCTCTGGTTAGAGTGTTCTGCTTTGGAGAAACTTTGGAGAAACCAGTTCTGTGCACGCTGCAGCAGGGAGACAACCAGTCACCAGCCTCCTGCTGATGGTGGGTCGTTCGCGTGGACCATTGATGTCTCCAGGGTTAGGCAGCAGCTGACTGAAGGGGGTTCTTGGTTGAACAACTTTGACTGTGGGAGCCTAAATTCAGCCCGACCAGAGCAAGGTTTTGGCCCTGACAGGTCCCGTGTGGCTGATGGGTATTTCTCAGAGCTGCCCTGAAGGTGGTGAAGCACCACTGATGCTTGGACCTGCCCCAGCTGCTTGCTTTGTAGCTCTGAGCATTCCAATCTGAGTTCCTGGAGACTAAAAAATGGAATTGTAGTAAATCAATTTTTTAATAATAGCATATACAGATTTATTGTAGGTACCAGAGAGCATCCTAACTTCCTAATTCCCAGCAAAGGCAATCTTTAAAGCCATCCCATTAATTAATTACCTTTGCTGTATATGTTTGTGTATCTTTGTAATCTGAATGTATCTGGTTTTACAGTGACTGGTTATCTTGGTACTTTTGTCTTTTGGGTTGGATAGTCCTTTTATTCCTCATCCTCCTTCCATTTTTACTTCCTGAATAGATGTTATGGGCCGTGATGAAGACACTGTAGCCTTCTCTATATTGTGCAGGCAGCATTTTGTTGGGAAAACAGTGCTATCTGGTATTACAATCACTGTGTTGTCTGGGATATGGTCTCAAGAAGTTTAAGGTAAGCTAGGATATGAGTTTGTGTTGTGAGTCACTGCCCTAATTGCTGTATGCATGCTTTGAGCCTGGAGTGGGTTCAAGGACAGTTTATCACTGAAAATAGCTTGTTTATGTTCCCATACTTGCCTGGAGGAGCGTGGCCGTACCTGTCTCGGGGGGCATCGCTCCGCCGTGCGCTGGGCGAGTTGGACACTGCATTGCAATGGAGAGTTTGGTTGTCTCGGTCCCTTTGGGTATCCATCCCCGGGTGAACAACTGCAGAAGGAGAGCAGCCTGGGGAAAGCGTGCTACACACACACAACCCTTGAGAGCAATAGGTGTGAGCAGAGGGGCAGAGAGAGCATTTCAGAGACGTTGGGGCAATGGAAGGGGGTACATTAACCAACATATGCAATTGCATTACGTTAGAGGGAATAGTTGCTAAAATTAAGGAGTAGCTTCTTTCTGTACACCTGAATGGTGGCCAGACAAGATGTAACTTGCCAGCTGAGTCAGGGTGCTCAGAGCTCGCCCCTCTGGAAGCTGGGGGGCATCGAGGGACCCTTGGCTGGAGGGACCGCTTGGTTGCTGGCGCGGTTGCTGGAGCAGCTTTGCTGACTGCCCAGCCAGGCTGTGGCCACTAGCTCATGTATAAACATCTGCACTGTAAATGGATAAAACCAGTGAGACAAATCCCCCTAAATCCAGCATAATCTCATTTTGTACATGAAAGCCTATATGCTGTAAAGGGAAATCTTCCCTTTTCCTTCCAAACCTGTAGCAGACAATGTAGTTCATCCAGGCTGGTTACACCATGGGCATGTTGTACAGCTCTACAGCCCGTCAACATGTACAGGGTGAGTGTGCTGAGGGCTTGCTGGCTGAAGACTTGGGATAAGATAACTAAAAAATGGAGTATTCAAACTCTGCATAGCTTTATTTTTGACTTAATTAAAAAGCCCCAAGGAGAGAACTGCTGGTGGCCTCAGGGCTTTTAGGGTGTTGGTTTTTGTTTTTTCAGAAATTAATTGTGATCCAGACGCAATGACTAACACTCAAAGCTTTTCAAAGTTGTCAATGGCAAAAATGGGGTGAAGTACCCAGTTCTCAAAAAAAATTAAAAAAATATGTAATTGGTAATTCTTTGTGGGAATATCTGGTGTATGGAGAAAATGCCCATTTGAGGAGGGAGAGTTATATCATGCGCATTTAAATGACAATATAAATTCATTCTGTTTTGACTGTTTTAGTATAGCACTTACATGAAGTTTTTAGCTGTTGGCAGGTATTTATTTTGGAGTGTGTAAGTGAAATACTCCATTTACTCCTTTGAAGCAACCAGCAAACTCTGAGGATGGGTGTTTGGGGGTGTAGTTTATTGTCTCTGGGGTCAGAGCAGCCTTGCTCAACTCCTTATTCATCACAGAAAGGCAGAGGGAGGAAAGGAGAGTGGTTTGACAGAAATCCAGACTGACAGAGGAGGTGAACAAGGGACAAGAGTTCACGGTCTCTTCTTGCTCAAGAGCTAGGTAGGCAGGTTCAGCACCAACAAATGTAGCTACTTTCTCAGCAGTTAGGCTGTGGAAGGACTTGTCACAGGACGCTGTGGATGTGATGTACAGATGTACATGGATTCAGCAGTGACTCAACAGTTGCTAGATTCATAGATACAAGAACATGATCTTCAACTGAACGAATATTAAGGTTTGATCCTGGAATGACAGGTCTATAAGGGGAATGGGATGGCTGTAATGCAGTCTGTGGTTTTAGAGAATAAAAGCTTTGATAGAGTTTAAATTGATGAAAATAATTTTAAAAGTAATTAGTCTTTTCTTCAATTGTCCAGATCAGATGAAACTACAGAAGAGATGGCCAACGTCAAGACAGCGCGTGAACTGATGAGAAACAGCATTGTCTTCTGAAAACATTAGGCTCCTAGTTGCTGGAAATGCTAGGTGCCACTTGACTACCAAAAGAGTTATGTGATCATTGAGCAGTTTGCAAGAATGGAAAAGCAAAGGACCCCAGTAGCTGCATCACACAAATAAAAATTTCCAAGATTCAGCTGAATCAAAAAATTATTCCAGCCATGGGAGAAAATGCAAGTTTTTGGGAAAGTCTGATATATGCACATCCTATCTGCACCACCTGGAAGCAAGAGGCAGAGGGATCTATCTATCACCTAGCCAGTATTCTCTTTGTTGTTGGCTTCATGGGTGGAAGTGGATTCTTTGGGCTTCTCTATGTCTTCAGCTTGCTTGGATTGGGCTTTCTCTGCTCTTCTGTTTGGGCTTGGCTGGATGTCTGTGCTGCTGACATCTTCTCCTGGAATTTTATACTGTTCACTATATGTTTCGTCCAGTTCATTTACGTTACCTACCAAGTGCGGAGTGTTTCCTTTGACAAAGAATTCCAGGAACTCTACAGTGCTCTCTTCCAGCCTCTGGGAATTTCCTTGACTGTCTACAGGAAGATAGTCTTGTGCTGTGATGCAGAAGTGGTTACCCTGGAGAAGGAGCACTGTTACGCCATGCAGGGCAAAACACCTATTGATAAACTGTCCCTGCTTGTGTCAGGCAGGTTTGTATCAGTTTGTGCAGACTGACTGCAGATATCTTTGGTTTTTCCTCCATCTTGAAAATGAAAGCAAACCAACAAAAGCCTGATTTGAGTATTGTTTGCTCATTTGCCAGTACAATAGATTAAATATTAATGCAAGTAATATAAATATTAATAGGCTAAATACACTTGTGTGGGACAGCACTAGCATAAGAAAACTAAGCACAAAGTCTGTAATAGCATAAAGAAAAAGATTTTAAGTCATTCTTTTCCAGACCACTGTATCATAGCACTTAACAGGTTAGGCAGAAAAAGGGAACGAATGTGTGCTTCACTCTTCAGGCTATGGTTTGCTTGCTATCTATCTACTGCTGAGCTGAGGAACACAGCATCTTTCTTGTTTCTCCTTTGCTAGTATCATCTGAAACAGGACTAGAAGGTAGTTATGAAACTGCATATACCGAGATAAACTCTGTTTATTTAATAGACATAGTTGAGCCCTATCAAGATTTGCAGAACTGAGTCTACCCTTACTGTACACTGTGGCTCTTAGTTAGACCCTGAGGCAGTAAATCCACCTCTTTGTGCTCCCTGCTTACTGGAGGTCCTTCTGACAACTTTGCTGATGCTTTCCTGAAGGGAAGCACTGGATTTTGTAGTGTATGCAAAGTGCTACACAGTACTGGACCACCCCAGGAGTAGATGGGATGCCCAGAGATGATTGCCGTGATCTGTATTTGACAGGACATTTTGTAGGTGCATTTTGACAGCCTGCTGCATGGGCAGATGGAAATCACAGACAGCTTGAAACTCAGTTGATTTGGGACTACTTGCAATGAATAGGTTGCTTTTGGTCATAGTCATAGTGAAGGAGAGGTGTCCATCCTTCAACATGCCCAGGCAGTCTGTAATCGTGCAGGGAGTTCCTGGTACCCTCCTTTGTGTAGTATAGGGATGCTTGTTCTGATTTTGTAAGAAGTATTAATCTCAGTGCAGAGCAGATGTAAAAAGGGGACTCCTACAGCTTGCTTTTTTCTTTTAGCTCATGAGGTTCAAGCATACATTTCCTGCTTGTGTGCCTTCAAACTTAAATATGATTTAAAAAGTAGAAAGAAAATACTTTTTTGGCATCTGCAGAAGGCTGCAGCATTCACACAGAGATCCTGTACCTCCATGTTGTTCTCTGGGCTCCAGAGACAGTCCTGTGGCCATGTAATTCTGGTTAAACGTTGAGACGGTCCTACCTAACATATGCCATGGGGAACTCCTGCTTCACGCTCCCTACTTCTGCCACTTTGTTCACTCTAAAATGCCTACTTGCCAAACCTAGAAGTATATCCCATGGCTTTCAAGTGAAGGAGGCAAATAGCGTTACATGCCACTGGTATTTCACCTCTCCAGCTCACACCGGCTGTTCCATGACAAAGCTTGCATGTTGATGCACGGACCTGCCCCAGAGAGAAGAAGGTGACTTGGGTAATGCCTGGAAAGATTTCCATTTCAGTTGCATGATTGTCTTGTATTCTCTTTCAACCAGCCTGATCAAGCTGTGTTCAAAAATATAATTAGGATACTGTTGGCCAGTGATGGCTTTTTCATGCTCTCAGAGCTATATTTAAACTCCTCACATAGTAGGAATAACACATTCTTGTTGCAGTTGTTGCTGCTGTACAGGTAGTACTAACAAATTAACACATCTTATCTTGGTAGGATCAGAGTGACAGTTGATGGGGAGTTTCTGCATTATATTTTTCCTCTTCAATTTCTGGATTCTCCTGAATGGGATTCACTGAGGCCCACAGAAGAGGGAATTTTCCAGGTAAAAGCGAAGGGTTTGTGTGTTGGTTTTTTTTGTAATACCACACAAAACTTTTCAAATACTAATTGGTTTAGAAATAAGTTCGTTTGGTTGCGGGTTTCATTTGTGAAATTGTACAAACAAGTGGCGTTGCATTCATTTGGGGAGGGAAGTCCTCTTTGCCCACTGGACTGGTTATGCCATTTGTATATTCTTTTTGTTTGCATCTTGTCATTGCAACAAACAGGGTTTTTCTTAAAGGAAGTGGACTCTGTTTCCATTCCGTGGCTGTGCTAAAATCCAGCCTTGGGAAACCGGTTTGCAGAGGTGGGTGGAAGTTGGTGCTGAAAAGGCTTCACTACGGGAGGTGAACCAGAGAGCTCGGGCTGGGCAGAGGGATGCCTGTGGTACAGCTTGGCATGGGAGGACAGCATGGGACACAGTGTTCATCTGGGTGCTCCTTGTGTCCCTGTGTCCATCTGGGCACTCCCTGTGATCTGGGAGCCCTCCCACTGCTGTCACTTGGCTGACACACTAGCTCCTGCCTGTGTGGGATCTGGTGTCTCGTGTCACGAGGGCAAATGGCATTTGTCAAGAGCTTTCTTTAGACCTGCCTTTCCAGCTGGGGCTGCTGACAGCAATGCAGGGTGTGCAGGGCTGTCAGCCTGTGTCCTGGCTGGGGCTGTTCAGTGTGGACATAGGTGTGGACCTAATCAGCCAGCCCGTTCCTGGTCACCCTTCTGCCTTGTCTTTGGGTTTAGTGGTGGTTTTGGCAGTGTTAGGTTGATGGTTGGACTCGATAGTCTTAAAGTTCTCTTGCACCCTGGATAACTGTGTGATTCTGTGATGCTGCAGTAAACCTTGCAGAGCTCTCAGCTGGATTAAATGGCTTTAATTGCAGTTGGTGCAAAGGGGTGAGGTGTATGTTATGGCCACAGCCTGGGTGGGTGCTGAGAGAGAGGGGATGCTCTCTGAGCAAGGGCTGCAGTGGCCGTGTGGCTGCCTTATCACCTAGCTAATTCTCATTTTCTCCTCTGTAGGTAACGCTCACAGCAGAGACAGACTGTCGGTACGTGGCCTGGAGGAGAAAGAAGCTGTACCTGCTCTTTGCTAAACACCGTTTCATCTCCCGCCTCTTCTCAATTCTGATTGGGAGCGACATTGCTGAAAAACTCTATGCCTTGAATGACAGGGTGCATGTGGGGAAGGGCTTTAGGTACGACATTCGCTTACCCAACTTCTACCACGTCTCGCTGCCAGAGACCCCTCCGGTGCAGCCCTCCCACCGCCTACAGAGAGGGTCCCCCCGGCGCAAGCCCACGGGGGTTACAAACTGCAGCTCCTTCAGCACACACTCCTAGGAAGGAAGGAGGGAAGGAAGGACAAATCTGCTGCAGCCATTCCCCAAAACGATGGAGGGAAATGCAAAGTGATGGTCCTGGTCTGAGGCAGAAGAGCAGGAAGGTGAAGCAGAACGAGACCCAGTCAAGCCACCCTTGACTGACAAGTGCCATTTACTTTCATTGGAGTAGCTTGAATTCTTCCTCTCTCTAGAGCCAGCGGGTTGGCTTCTGCGTTTTGACCGTGCAATATGTTTAGTTTCTGTTGATTCTTTTGTTGATCATCATCCGCCTTACTTTTGGAGGCAAACAAACCATAACAGGCTGGTTTATTGTAATTGTGGTGGCCTCCGTGTTGTGTTTTTTAAAAAAACAAACTCACGGTATCTGTAATTATACTTTCTCAAAGTTATTTGCCATAATGAAGTATTGTCAGTATAGTCAATGAAAACAAGTAAGTTGTCTTCAAAATATAGCAACTTGCTCGCAACATTCATAGTTACGCCACGTGAACATTGTCTCAATTAACATGAAGAATGTTGCAGAGAAAGACTAAGAGACTGATTGTGTTTGGTTTGTTTTAAAGAAATTAAAGATTTTGAAAAGCACAGCAAGATTCTTAAGAACCAAAAAAAAGAAAACAACACATTCTGTCCCATGAGCAATTGGTTTCTTTCCAGCTACCCTAAAGAGGTATTTTGTGAAAACAAACGTAAATGTAAGTGCTGGCATTAGAAAAGTAAAGCAGTTGTAAGTGCTGCAAATACAGCTTAGGGAAATGACTGTGTAGTATTCCTGATAGAATGTGATGCTATAAGACCTAGGCTTCCACAGTGTCAGTGCCATTCGTGACATGTACAATAAATACTGTTAATCAATCAACCGCCAAACCATTGGAGTTTGTTTTACAATATCCTTTTTTAGCCAGGTTTGTCAATAAGAAACTAATTAAGAAACAGCAGCAGCAATAAACACAATTTTTAACCAAAACATTCTTGTTTAGCTTCCAGAGTCACTTCTCTGTGGCTGTGAAATTCTTGATTTTAAAGGCATTCTCTCCCTAACTCGTGGTGTTTTAATGGCCTAAGGGAGCACCAGCTCGTGCTTCACTAGGAGAGAGTTGTTTTCAGCCCTTGAGGTCACGGTGCCTTTGGGGAGAAGTGGCTGGATGTCTTTGCTAACTCACCTTCCTGCTGCTATGCCTGATGCCTGCCAGCAATCAAAAAGGTAAGAAGCATTACTTTTTTATGAGACTGTATTGCTGCTTGATAGATCTGGAGGTAGATCACATTTTTAATATTTTAAAATTGCTGGACTGTTTGGTAGGACAACCGTTACGTTTTTGTGTATGTGCGGGTGTATGTATGGGTTTAGATCTCGGGAGTTGTTGCTGGAAGACTTAAAATAATGACACAACCTCATGCTTGAAAAGTAATCATTCAGGATGTATAAGAAAGCTATTAAAAGTGATATGAAACACCACCTGTTTGAAGGAGCTTCAGTGTAGAACAGATGACATTGTACAAGTTTTGCTTTTAGCTTTATGTCCCTTGACATAAATGTGTTTATGAAATGTGAGCATCCCCAAATCCTGCTAATAACCCTTCCGCACGATGTATTCTCTATGTTTTACTTACTGTGTGAAGTCCCTGAGTCACGAAGCTGCTTTGACTGGGTCAAAAGAGAACTGGAAAAAATGTTAGAGTTCATTGGCAGCTATAAACGACCAGCTCAGGAAATAACGAAGGCACAAAGTGCCAGAGTCTGGCAGCGTGTAGTAAGACATACAGCTGTGTGTGCCCTCTTCCTGTGCTTTTTGTGGTTAAGGGACAGGATAGCAGGCTACCTCACCCCTTGGTATGACTCGGCACTGGTATTCCCATCTAACTTCAGCGCTGTGGTTAGTATCGCATCTAATTTGTTGGTGATGCTCGGTGTCTGAGGTGGGTAAGAAGTGTGTCATGTCTCGTGGATGTGGTCACTTTGGCTTAGGCTCAGTATTTAATAAACTAATATGATCATCTTCACCTTCAAAATAAGATCAAGGAGTTTTGCCCACCTAATTTCTGTATCAAGCCTATATATTCTGTTTAAACGATAGCATATTGCTTAGAACAATACCTCAGTGGAGTGGTGGGTGCTTCATTGCATACTTAAGTAATTTTTACATCTTTCTGACTGGTGTGTGCCTTAGTTTCAGCCTTGTTTCCAACCACCTCTGTGATGCTTTTCTCTGCTGGAACTAGTTACTGTCAGAAATCTCTACTAGGACGTGTCTGAGTCAATATCTGAACGTAGTCTTAGCTAATCTTGTGTAGCTTTTGCTAATGTGCTTTTTGGGCTTTGAGTCACTTTTTAAAAATTGTTTCCAGTTTTCCAGCATCTGTTTGAGTTATTACTACATTTCAGCTGTAGAATTCAGGGCATATATATCTACAAAAATATAAGTATTACACAAAAGGACGGGAAGCGAGACAGCCAGTGCTCTCCACCCCTGATCTTTAAATCTTGACAGCACTTCTAAAATGTAAAATAATACAATGTGAAATAATACAATCTCTTATGATATCTTATATACCCAGTCATGAGAGAATGGGGGTTGTTCAGCCTGGAGAAGAGAAGGCCCTGAGGAGACCTTGTTGTGGCCTTCCAGTTCTTGAAGGGCGCCTACAGGAGAGACAGGGACAGACTTTTTAGGGCCTGGTGTGATGGGACAAGGGATAATGGATTTATGTGTTGTAAATGATTGATGAAAAAGATTGTTTTATGCAGCTGCCTGTGATAATAGAGGTGGGACTGAGGCAGGCCATCCTGGTCCTAAATTTTCAAGAATTAATTGCCCTGCAACAAACCAGCAAATGTGATAGTGATCAAAGTAAACTCAATAATGGAGAGAATGAGGCAAACTGTATATATATATATGACCTCCACTAGGGTAAAGCTGGGAAGGCTGAATACATGCTTGGATGAAATTCTATAGATTAGCCACACTACGAAAAAGGCATATGCTTGCAGTAATTAAATAATAAGTTGATGCTACATTTCCAGCAAAAAAGTGCTCTACAGTTTTTGATTATTGTAAATGATAAATAGAAGATGTATTTGGGCTCATGAAAAATTGAAATACAGTGTTGGACCGCTCATATCAACAGGTCTTGCAAACCATGTGTTAAAAATTAAAGAAATCCATAACTATTTAGATAGAAGAAAACTATTCAAATAGAAGATGAAAAAATTAATATCTGTTTGCTAAATTCAGACATTAACAGCTTAAATATTTTTCTTACTATTCCTGTAATAATTGCATGCATATTCTTCTGCCCTAAAGTGTTGCTGTATAATAGATATTTTTTACAGTACAGCAAAATAAATACCTTATTAAGCTGATTTGTTAATCCCTCTTGAAAATACTTTGATTACATTAATATGCATAAAAATATAATAGGTTCAGGGCTCCCAAGGGAAAACACCCTTTTGTTTTTCTGTCTAATTCACGTTAACTTGCCTTTCTTGTAGATTTTTGCGTGCTTGCAGTTTCTGCTCACTCTATTTCTACTACAGTGTGAATCAAAAGAGTTAATTGAACTTCTCATGTAAATCAAGCCACTTCATTCCCATGAATCAAACCATGTAGGTGGAGCTTCATCAGCAGGAGTGTGTAGGAGAAAGGCAACACAAGCACGTCATCTGCGAGCCCTGGGACTTGGGGTCACGTCCCAAACCACGGCTGGCAAAGCCCTTCTAGAGGGTAGCTCGGCAGGTGGTTCTGCCAGCAGGTGGTATGGACCCAGATTGTCATTCTACAAGCCAGAAACGTTGTTAAATGTTGTCATTGACTGGGAAAAAGATGGGAGGCTCCCAAAAGCTTGTGGGACCAGAAGGATTTTATAGCAGTTGTTCTTCTGCTGTGGATTCCCAGGCAATTCTGTTCAATTGTCAGCTCCACCACAGCTCCCAGTTTAAGGGATCTGTGGTGTACTCTGGGGACAGGACTATTTCCCTGCCTCAGTGGGTTTTGAAGATAAATGATGATAAAAGATAGATGATTAGTAACTCAGACACTGAAGTCATATAAGTAAATAATTGCAATAAAATAGTGGCAAATAACTATTTCAGCAGTGAATCTCGTAGTTTTCATTGTATCCACTAGTAATTTTCCACCCAAAGTTGTCTACAGCCTGGGGAATGTAATAGTTTTCTGGGAGTAGGGGATGGTAGAGGAGGCAGCTAATCCAGAAATTGGGTGCTTATTGTCTCATTGACAGTTATGCTCAAAACAAGGAGTATTTCAAAGACTTATTTGGGACAGCTACTCTGATCAAGTGCATAAAATGCTCCTGCTTGATACTTGGGCTACATCAGCCCGTTTCTGTGCATTTAGACCAAACTTGTTTTGTCCCCACTCTTGCTCCCTTCTCTCTGTGTCTTTTGGCAAAGAAAAAATTAAATTTAAAAAAGCTACCTCATGCCCATTCACAGTTCTTCTGAGTTAATCTATTTACATTTCCTTCCCCCTCATGATGTGGAGTATTTTCACTCTCAACTCCTGCATGCTTTCTCTGATGCTTGTTTAAATAATCCCATAGACTCATCTTCTGCTTCCCTCACTTCCCCTTTGTCCTCCTTCCTCAGTTTTTAAGTTAGATCTTTATTTTTTTTTTTTTTTAGTTCTTTCTGTCCTTCTGGATATGTTAAACACTTCTTATTTAGGTCCTTTTTTAGCTTGAAATAAAATTATAAATCCTTATCACTAATTAAAAAAAAATAATCTTAGAAAATAGTAGTTTTTAATGAGGCTAATATACAAAGTCCTGGAGACTCAAGCCTAGCCTTCACTTCTTAAAAACAGCCACTGGTGAATATTAAAATGCACAGCTAAAAGGGACTAATATTGCAACAAAACATTAATTCCCTTTGTATCAACAACCAAAAGAATGTGTACATTTATATTCTGACAATATTTGCAATTCACTTGGTTTATACAGACAGGCTCACGGCTCCCATAAATTCACAAAGACCTCTGCAGGGAGAACACTGCGAGCTGCGGTTGAGATGGATTTACTTCAGGATTAGCACAGACATCTTTGCCTGATCATTTTAAAGTTTCTTTCTGCGTGGAAGTTGTCCAAGAAGGGAACAGAGAAATCACAGCCTGTTCAGCCAGAGCTGTATATCTGCTGTTAGTGGGGACCCCTGAGAAACGGGCTGTCACCTGGCGAGGGACAGATACAATGCACAAGCCCTGTTTTATTACTTGCTTTCCAATTATATGTACAAAGAGCTGCCTCATACTGACCAAGAGCAACATGTCTATAGCAGCTTGAGTCCTGGACAAGCCATGTGCTCAGACCCCCTCCCCATTACTCCTCTCTTTCCAGAAACAAGCAGACCCGTTGGGGACAGGCTCCCCATCATTCCCTGCCATCATTTTCCCTGCCATCATTAGCCAGCTGCCCCGGCAGGGCACTGATAAGAGCACCGTGACACCAGCCTTAGCAAATTCAACCAGTTCTATAGGAGCTCTCCTTTGTGGTTTTTTTTTTCAGAACCAGGTGATTTAGGTAGAGCAGGACCTTCCAGCGATGGTCCCACTTGTGAGCAGCTCGTAGGCTTGCATATATTCATAGAAATCCTTCAACGAGCAATTTCAAATAATGAGCATCCAAATTACATCGTCAGCAGGAGGCTGCTCACGCATGATTTGGGAACACGGATAATTGCAAGGTGTGACTGAATAAATTGTTTACTGTGCACAGTTTAGATGACTTTAATAACAAACAATTTTACTCTGCCCTTACACCTCAGGATTGCGTGCCCTTTGCATGAACACCTACACCAACCAGTGCATCTGTTAAAACTTGGATACTTTGACAGATCATTTTAGAAGAAAATTGGCTCCTGGCTCTAAGTTTGCAACGACCAATTACAATACTATCAGTCAGACACTTGGAAGCTCCGGGATACCATGTTTTATATCTCTGATTCAAAAGATGTTCATAAACAGATAACCCTTCTTGTATAAACAGGAGACACCCTCCCTGCAGAAGCGGCATGGGAAAAATTGCCAGATTATATTGTGATACATCAGAAAGTGGCCATCGGAGGGTCTAAGGTAAAAATGCACAGAATGCACATATTCCTCTTAAATAAACCTCCAGAATATTGAAGAGCCGAGAGAGTATTTATCAGTCACAACCTCTTCTATACAAACTTCCTTCTCGTAAAACATAATTCTCAAAGATGCTTTCAGGCAAAACCTAAATAAATAATTTTTTTTTCTGTGGAAAATATGTGTAATTTTTCAGTTATATGGCACATAATTTTGGCATCTGGGATGGGATTTGTCTCACTGAAATGTGGCACTTCTGAACTACGCCAGCGTATTTCATCCCACTCCAGATAGATGTCAAACACACACAGGATTAATTACTTTCTAAAAGAGCCCCCTTGCATTGTCTATAGAGGGACTTTAAAAGATTAATTTAAAGTAGGCATCTTTTAGCCTGTAGATGCTGAGTATGCTTCCTGAAACTATAAATGGAAACATTTCATAGATCTCGCCATTGTCTGAAAATAGCCCTGTCAGCCTGGCACATCTGGGATCCCGAATACAAAGCATTTGTTCCCTTCAGTGAAAACTTTGCCTAAAAAAGGCTGCGGAATCGGGCTCTCGTGTGGAAGAGGCAGAGCGCTTGCAATTTTCCAAAAAGTTACTTTATAGTCTGCTTAATGAAGTCTTTCTCTGCCCGGCTAGGCTGGACTGAGAGGCAGGAGGGGGAAGCTGTGGTCTCAGCTTCACAACTCCTGCCTGAGCTCCCCTGAGCGACACCTCCCACAAGGTCCCCACACCTCATTGTCCCCGTGACACAGAAGAACAGGCAGGCACCAAGAGGATGGGGTGTGCAGTTGAGGACCACAAAGCAGGTCGATGAAGATAAGGAACCAAGACTGAGCCATTTGCAACATCCGTGTGACATTTTCTACTGCGGACCATTTCTGTGGAGAATAACTAAATAATAGGGGGAAGTACTTAAGCCATCAAGACTTTAATAGCAAGAGAGAGAAACACGACAGAGGGAAAGCCCGCATCAATGAACGGCTGTAATACCATTAGACCTGTCTCTGCTAACAAAATGCATCAATTCCACACAAATCTCTAAAAATTGATCAGGCTATTTGAGCCTAACTCCTCATCAATGTAGACACAAACAGTTTTTATTTTTTATCTCTGACAGATTAATTTACATAAGCGGACTTCAATGAACTTGTACTTTATTGACACAGATAGAAGGTTAAACCAACTCTGTCAGTCTTTACAGTGGTTTAACAGTAGGACATAAAACTGATTTAATTAAACCAGCCCATTCTCTTACAGCACATAAGGACTTGGTTTAAGAGAAAAAACTCTTCTTAATATATTCTACTTAGAGAATGCTTATGTTGTCTATATAACTATAGACAATGTTATCCATGTTATCACATATTAAACATACCACTAAAGGCTACGTAAAATTACAGCCATTAATATCTGCATGAGACTCTGTGCTACTCTATGTAAAATTGATGCCATTCATTCTATTAGGAAGGTTTTTCTTCTACATACAGGTGCACACCACAGCACATGACTAGAGCCCATCAGAGTCATGTCTGTGCTCTTCATCTGCTTATGGTTCTCCTTGAGGGCCAGGGGCAGCTCTCAGATCCTCCCTCATTTCTCTCTTTCTAGCTGGACTAGATACCCACACAGCCTTGATTCTTACTGCTATGCCACACAGGGCAAATGACATTTCATCACCAATATACTGAAATATAAAGATCCCAAGAGACTAGCTCCAAACAGGACAAAGTTCTACACTTTCACCCAGCTGCATATATTAGTTCATTGCCAACTACCCAGGATTTTCTGCACTGGGTTAAGCAGATATTGTTTATCACCTAGGCTCCCGACAAAAACAGAGAAGACCTGGAGGGTAATGAGAGAAGTACAAAGACTCTATAAAAGACACAACTAGTACAGCAAGCTGTGCTTCCCCAATGCATAACATTCTGTAACGTGCTAGACTATGCGTACACGTCAGTCTAGATTTGTATAGGAGCCCCCTGACAGGCTGCTTTGTGCTGCTTTTGGAAGCTGCTTGGCTTTGCTCCAGCAAGCATAGCTAAATATTATCAATCTCAGTCACATGCTAGATGCTATCTCTCATGGCCATTCCTGTGGCCATGCTCTCCTGACTCGCTCTTCCTACCCTTTTTCCAGCTCACTTACTCTGCACATCTCAGGAAAGAGCAAATATATCCACAAGAATGGCTGGCCAGTCAGAGGGAGCACAGTCCTAAATCAAGTCCTTCCTAATAAATTCATAATACACTTTGGAAAATCAGGTCTTATACCAGGCAGCAGGATGCATAAAAAACCTACTCACGTGGCACACACCACTGGAAAGATCCAGGTCTCTTGTCCAAGATGTAAAGCCAAGAACAACCATAACAAAGCCGGAGCCTCCTGGGACACACGTTGATGTGTAAGTGTATAAACTGTTACTTCAAAAATGATTCAGGATTCTGTCGTCTTCTTTCAAAAATATTTAAGTATAATGCTGACCATATGCTCTCAGCTGCTGGAAAAAACCCACAAAACAACCAAGCACTCACTTTGTAGCTAGCTCATCAGAATGCATTGAAAGAGGTTTTCTGCCTTTGCAGTCCTCATTTGTCACTGACAGTCAGGTTTCGGGTTGGGCTGGGGTGCCCATAGGCTGTACCTGCAATGCTTTTTGCTGTTGGATGCTGCACGTCAACATCCTGGAGATGAAGGCAGGCTCGGTGGCTACTTTGCCCGTCCTTCAAGACTGGACAGAGGGCTGCAGAGCTGAGCAACCTGCCGCCATGCAGGGACACAAGTGGCCTGCTTTGGAAGCACATCATTTCTGGGAGCTGTCAAGCTGCCACACTGAGCAAACTCAGTGACATTTCTTAAACGTTCTGCTCGTGACAAAGCAACCACAGCAGGTGCCAAGAAGAGCAGCTTTATAAAGGCTATTGAGGCTCCTTGACTCACCATGTAGGGGAAATACTGCTTGCTACTCGTTTAGGGGAGAATTCAGCTCTTC